AGGTTGTTTTTTGTTTTTCTCGTGATTGTGATTTGTAAATGTAGAGCAGAATGTTCCTTTTTTTTTCTGCAGTAAATAAATGTTGTTAAATACTCCCCACAGCATGTTCCGGTTAAGCAGACAAACAGTGATATCCGTATCATTAGTTTTGGAAATAAATGGTGAATGCTTGGTAATTACTCACCAGAGAAGCATTTCAGTTTATGAAAGCATCTCAGTGTGTCCAGTTCTTATTATAAAGTCGCATAGTACTGCAGTAGAATAATATGAAGTTGTTCTTCTTTCTTTATTATTTTTAAGGCTTTGGGCATTTGATTCACCCAGAAACACAAGGCGACACATTCCTTCAACCCCAAGACACCCACTGCCTTTAAACCAGCCTGTTTCACCCATGGTCTGTGCAGCCAGGAGCACTTAGGATGAGTTCTGGAATTATTTCTTTAAGTCAGGTTATCCGAAATAGAATCACTGGGTCAGAGGAAAACCATTTGAAAGCTCTTGACACATCTGTTCAAACTGCTTTTCAGAGAGTTCAGAAAGCTTTCTTAAAACCTACTAAACAGAAAAACTTCGAGTCCTGTTCAAAATTTGTCATTTAAAAACTGAGCTATGACAAGTAAGTGGCATATAGGGGGTTTCTTTCTTAAAGAAATGGAACCTGCAGGGGCGCCTGGGTGGCGCAGTTGGTTAAGCGTCCGACTTCAGCCAGGTCACGATCTCGAGGTCCGTGAGTTCGAGCCCCACGTCAGGCTCTGGGCTGATGGCTCAGAGCCTGGAGCCTGTTTCCGATTCTGTGTCTCCCTCTCTCTCTGCCCCTCCCCCGTTCATGCTCTGTCTCTCTCTGTCCCAAAAATAAATAAATATTGAAAAAAAAATTTAAAAAAAAGAAATGGAACCTGCAGATGCGGGGTTAAATTGCAGCAGTTTTAGCTTCAATACCTGAAGGAGAGTTTTAAAAAAAATTTTTTTTGTTTTTAGCGTTTATTCATTTTTGAGAGACAGAGCGTGAGCGGGGGAGGAGCAGAGAGAGAGAGAGGGAGACACAGAATCTGAAGCAGGCTCCAGGCTCCGAGCTGGCAGCACAGAGCCTGATGTGGGGCTCGAACTCACTGACCATGAGGATCATGACCTGAGCCGAAGTCGGACGCTTAACCGACTGAGCCACCCAGGCGCCCCCGAAGGAGAGTTTTTAACATTGAAAGTTGCCAGATCCAAAATCAGTTACCGAAAGAAGGGAGATCTGCTCTTCTAGAGCTAGGAATATCTGTCTGGTAGTTTGGAGGCATTCATTATTCGGCCACCATTTACTGAATGCCCAACCGTTTGCCAGCAAAGCTCCAGGCTTAGAAGGGCTGACTGTATAGGAAGATGACTTCTCGCGAGAGCTTGGGGATTCTGTTTTCTGCATGACTTGATAAGGAAGGGAATCACCTGATGGATCAATGAAATAAACAGATTGAAACAATCCAGAAGGACTTTTTCCCAGCAGAAATGCTTTGGTAATGAAAAGCTTGTTTGTGGCAAAACACCTGTTTGGCACTTACCCGGCTAGGTGGAATTTTACCTTAAAGTCTTTAACAGATGACTTTTTTTTGCTGTGTCCTGTTTCCCAGGTGATAATTGGGATGGTACTGTGGTTCCTGGGACAATGGTATGAAAATGAATTAGGTAATATTGTATGATATCTTTTTTTTTTTTTTTAAAGAAAATTGGTACCACTTTTTGCTCCTGTGATTATGTAAGATTAATGTAGTCCTGTTTATTTATAAAGGACTTTTCACTTATTTATAGTCATTTTCCGAAGTGCCTAGGAATGTAGCTTGTAATTGGCTTTCCTTTTTGCGTGTTGGGAAGCAGCAGCTTGGAGAGGACGTTCGTTTTCTTTCAGGGCAGATGTGATGGGTTTGGGAGTTGGGGAGGGATGAGATTACAAGTTGGAGACAGGGAGACCATTTAGTTTGGCTCTTGCAGTTGTCCTGTCCTTAGGAGAAACCAAGGCTGGTGTGCAGAAGCAATGGCATTGTGGATGGAGTGAGCCAGTCTGTGGGAATTAACCTTTAAAACTTGGTTACTCGTTGTCAAATGGGGCACACAGGAGAGGGAGGAATCAAGGTTGACTAGTTGTGGGATCTTCAGTAATTTCTATTACGGCCATATAGCAGCTATATATGTTGTATTCTGGGCAAACAATGAACAGTGTTTGCACCTACAAGATTAGAATTTGGCGCTTTGCACTTCCTTCGGGAATGTTATGAGCCATTGTATTTCTTTTTGGAAATGAAGTTACTGCTGCATATGGAAGATGGGACTAAACTGCCATAGAGACAGAATGGTAAATGTTTGTCCTGAATGCTCAGGATCTCTCATTGTGGCCTCTGAGCTCTTTCCTATATAAATTTTGTATCTTAAATGGTTGAAATGGAGTAGCTACCCTCATATTTTATGATGGATAATTTCTCTAGTGATGGGACATGGATGATGGTCCATGACCGTTCTTTAAGAGTGTTCATTTCATAGGAGTCAGAATTAGTTTTTTTGTGGTGGTGGTGGTGGGGTGTGTGTGTGTGTGTGTGTGTGTGTGTGTGTGTGTGTGTGTTTATAACCACAAGAGGGTGTCTCTGGAACTCTGAGCACACTGGTCAGAGGCCAGTGTCACGGGTGGGTCCAGTTTTGGATTTATGTGGCCTTTGGGATAAGCATACATGCTTGGTGATGTTTTGTGGTGACAGGCTTTTGAGAGCAATTCTTGCATGATTAGTAGGGAGTTCTAGTAACTTGCTGTGGAATTACCTCAGAGACATTTAAACGCTGTCAAGTTCAAGGTCAGTTCATCTTGCTCTGCCACAGACTTCCTTTTTTTTTAAATTTTTTTTTTTCAACGTTTATTTATTTTGGGGACAGAGAGAGACAGAGCATGAACGGGGGAGGTGCAGAGAGAGAGGGAGACACAGAATTGGAAACAGGCTCCGGGCTCCGAGCCATCAGCCCAGAGCCCGACGCGGGGCTCGAACTCACGGAACGCGAGATCGTGACCTGGCTGAAGTCGGACGCTTAACCGACTGCGCCACCCAGGCGCCCCCAGACTTCCTTTTTAAGTTGACATCTTTTTAGGTCTGAAATAGACTTAAAAAAAAAAAGCCAAAGGATACTTTTGTTTTTAAATATTTTAAAAGAACAACTGAAACTTTAAAATTTTTTAAAGAAAATGCCTAGGAATAAACGGATCACTTTTATGATAGATGAGAATAATTTGTTGATGTTTGTAAATTTTTTCAGTTCTGTGTGGAAATGTATAGTTGAAAACTATATTAACAGAAGCAAAATTGTTCATTAGCTTTGCATTTTGATTATATTTAGTAATTAGGAATGCTGAGTTTAGGACAGATAGGACTAACTGGATTTATGTTTCTCATCATGATACCTCTGAGTCTCTAAAGTAGTTTTTCACTGACTTCCAATTTTGGAGTAAATCCCTGACGTATCAGAGAAGGTAGAGAAGTTAACTCCAAATTTCATTGGTTTACCTGTTTCTTTTTAAAAAATTTTAAATCTGTTTTACATTTTTTGTTTAGAGAACTTTGAACATTCACAAAAGTAGAATGATCTAGTGAATCCCTGTCACCTGTTGTCCAGCTTCAAACAAGGACCGTCCTCCTGTCTGTATTAGTTGGATGCAGATTTCAGACATCCAGGGATCTGTGAGGTGTTCTCACTACTGATTCTCTAGGGGCGGGGCACTGCAAACGGACAGGCACTGAAGGTAGTCTAGGGCTTGGTGGTGGGGCCGCTGCCAAGGTGAGTTATTTTGAATTTCTGCAGCTCTTACTAAGATCTGGCAAATGTAGTATAGCACAGACTTTGTGTGTTGCCCTGAAATAATTGATTAGCATTCTACCATCTTACAAAAAGACATTCAGATAACTTTAAAATATATGTACATAGAGTAAGATTTAAAAATAGAGGAAGAAGGCTGAGGCGCCTGGGTGGCTCAGTCGGTTAAGCATCCGACTTCAGCTCAGGTCATGATCTCATGGTTCGTGGGTTCAAGCCCCACGTCAGGGTCTGTGCTGACAGCTCAGAGCCTGGAGCCTGCTTCAGATTCTGTGTCTCCCTCTCTCGCTGCCCCTCCCCTGCTTGCTCTCTGTCTGTCTGTCTGTCTCTCTCAAAAATAAATAAACATTAAAAATTTTTTTTTTAAATAGAGGAAGAAATCAGTGTAAAGGGTGAAGATTATCATGTACTATGAAGCCACTTACAGAGAATTCAAGACAAACATGATTTGAGACTTTACACAGCCATCAGCGTACTGCTGAATTTTCTAGGGCCCAAAGTCAAAAGGAAACACAATCAGCCTTATATTATCCTTCAGATTTCTTTCTGTCACTGAAGACACATTTTCCCCACAGGATCATCTAGAAGGAGTCATTGTTGGGATGGCAGGTGGAGGAGTAATTTGGTCTCCAAACAAATGGCTGTCTGAGCATCTCAGAGCACTATTTTGACTTGTTTTGGGGGTTTTGCAGATACATAACCAGCAGTATTCTATTTTATTGAACTCCTGTTATATATCAGGCATTGTACCTGGTGATTTATTTCATTTAATTGTAATGTTCCTGCTCTCTAGCTATTACTTTCCTTGTTTTTCAGGTGAGGAAATTGAAATTCAGAGAAATAACTTGATGAATTTCGGCAGCTGTCGGTACTCAGATTGCTAAAAATAATTGACATCTAGATAAGTGGATTGTTGATTTACATTTTGCGGGTGTATGTGTTTGAGTATGTAGTTCCTTTTTTTGGAAAGCAAAAAGAAAAGAGAAAAGACTGGCAGGCCTTCTGCTCACTGTCTGACTGGGAATGCGGTCACTTTGGAGGAGACTGGCTTGTGTGGGCCATGGTTCGCGACGCACCTTCTTACCCATGCCATGTGTCCGTGACTGTTGTGCTGTTGTTCTCCTCGCTCCCTGCCAGCTCTGAATTTTGTTCTTTTAATTTCAATACAGAGAGAGAAGGAGCACCAGGAGGAGAAAAGCACTCTGGTCAGGAACGCCGTGAAGGGTGAAGCCAGTGAAAGAAGGGCTATGATAACCCCTGCTCTCCGAGAAGCCCTTACTAAACAAGGTGAGGACCGTCAGGAGGCGCTGTCACTGGACCGCCCTCCCAAGCGCTCTCATTTAATACCCCAGTGAGGAGCGTGAAATAGGGAGGGAGGGAAGAAGGCCCAGTGGCCCTGTCACTGTGGCGGCCGGAGCTGTCGAGACAGCCCCCTCTCGTTCCTGCAGAAGGATCCCCTTGTGCGCTGGCTGCAGGCCAGCACATTTCCCCTGTGCTTGGTTTCCTGGGATGTTAGCATCAGCGTGGCTCTGGCACAGAGACGGAAAATGCCATCACAGATCGTCGTTTGTTAAGGGAAAATTATTAAATGCAGAAAAGAAGCTTCTATCGATATTAGGCTGGGTCAATTAGAAATGTTTTACGTAGAAGTGTATTTGGGTTTTTGTGGTCCTACCTCATCAAGGAGGCCTTACTTGAGAACAAATAATACTGATTTCCTGTAGAAGATGAGTGGTCAGTTGGGAGTCAGTGGACTGACTTCCTTCCCTCACTCCATCTTTCTGTGTTTATTGAGACCCTTTTGTGTGATAGTCCTGGCCATGCAGAGAAACTTAAGATGCAGTATCTTCTTCAAGGAGCCACCAGCCTATTAGAGGAGACAGACAAGAATATTCAGATCATACATATATTTATGTATATAATATATATATGTGTAGTCTGCCTTTTAATAAGGGTATTCAGACAATTTAAACTGATTTCATGATAGGTTTACATTTCTCATGTAGCCATTTGTTTTCTGCTTGTCTCGTGCTCTTTGATTTCCTTTTTCCAGTTTCTGCCTCCTTTAGAGTAAGTTGTTTTAAAAATTTTTTTTTAATGTTTATTTTTGAGAGAGAGAGAGACAGAGACAGAGACAGAGCATGAGTGGGGAAGGGGCAGAGAGAGAGGGAGACACAGAATCCGAAGCAGGCTCCAGGCTCCGAGCTGTCAGCACAGAGCCCGATGTGGGGCTCGAACCCACGGACCATGAGATCATGACCTGAGCCAAAGTCAGATGCTTAACTGACTGAGCCACCCAGGTGCCCCTAGATTATGTTTTTATGATCCTGTTTTACCTCCTCGTTGGCTTGTTAATTATAGCACTGTATTGGTATTTAGTGATGGTTCGAGGTGTTACACATACCTCTTGATCATATCACAGTGTATCTTTGAGTGATTAAGACGCCACTTCATGTCCAGTGGAAGAAGCTGCAGTAACACACTTGTGTTTTCCCCTTGTCAACCTCCATGTGATCATAATCATACATTTTACTTCTATGTATCTTAGAGGCCTACGCTACATTGTTATTATTTTAGTTTAAGTAGTCAATTATCTGTTAATTTTGACTTAATTAGATGTAATTAGAAACAGTCTTACATACTGACTCATATAGGTACCACTTAAAAAAAATTTTTTTTGGGGGGGTGCCTGGGTGGCTCAGTAGCCCTGACTTGGGCTCAGGTCATGGTCTCCTGGTTTGTGAGTTCAAGCCCCGTATCGGGCTCTGTGCTGACAACTCAGAGCCTGGAGCCTGCTTCGGATTCTGTGTCTCCCTCTCTCTCTGCCCCTCCCCTGCTCACGCTCTGTCTCTCAAAAATAAATAAATGTTAAAGACAATTTAAAAAACATTCTTTTTTCTGTTCTACTTTTCATTTTAGGATAGCTTCTATTGCTATGTCTTCAGGTATAATTTAGTAATCTTCTCTAATGTCTAATCTTCCATTAATTCTATCCAGTGTTTTTTTCAGCTTTGACATTACAGTTTTCATCTCTAGAAATTCAGTGTTGGCCTTTTTATATTCTCCATGTCTCTACTTAACTTTTTGAGCCCACGAATTACAGTTAGACAACTGTTTTAATGTAATTCTAACATCTGTGTCATTTCTGGGTCAGTTTGGTTGCTGGATTATTTTTTCATTGGTCATGTTGCATGCTTGGTTAATCTTTGATTGGATGCCAGGTCTAATTTTACCTTATTGGGTGCTAGATATTTTTGTGTTCCTATAAAACATTCTTGAGCTTTGTTCTAGGATGAAGAGCAGTTACTTGGAAACAAGTTTGAGCCTTTTAATCTGGCTTTTATGACTTGTTAAGTGAGACCAGAGCTGACTCAGAATATGGCTAATTACTTATGACTATCGGGGCAAAACACTTGTGTGTACTCTGCCTTGTGAATCTTAAGCTTCTGACTGGTGTGAATAGACACAGTTCCCAGCTGGCTGTGAGCACCAGGCGCACCTCCAGTCCTTTAAGATGGTTCTTTCCCATTCTTGGTTAGCTTTTCTCTCACATATGCATGAAGCATTACTCAGGCAGAATTTCTAGGAATCCTCTACAGATTCATGAGTTTAATCTCTGTGTAGCTTTTGACTCTCTGGTACTCAGCTCTGCAAACTCTAGCCGTGTGGGCTCCCCAACTCTTGCTTCCACGTCCTCAACTCCGAGAAAATACCCAGCCGTGTGTGCATTGCCTCTCCCTGCCGCACAGCCTGGAAACTTTGAGGGCAGTAAGCTCTGGGTATGGCAGGGCTCGCCTCCTATGTTTTCCATCTTTTCTGGGATTATTGTCCCTTGTTGCCTGGTGTTTCATGTCTTGGAAACTGTTCATATATTTTGTCCATTTTTGGCGTTTCAGGTGGGAGAGTAAATCCTCCGTGACTTTATCTTGGTTAGAATTGTGCAGTGTGATTTCTAGCAGCTGCGTACCATTGGTTTATCTTGGCGTTGTGGTCTGTCCATCCTGTACTCGGCAGTTTTTCTCATACCTACCTCAATGCAAAATTTTATAAAACCCTATGTATCTTGGAAGAGAAGGATGTAAAGACACTAATAGACTGTAGGAATCCAAAAGAAGAACTGGAATTTTCTGTAGGAATCTCTTAAATGCTTATTCTGCATCTGAGATTAGCTGTCCAGTTGCACTCTGTTCTGTCTTCATATAGATAAGCGGTGTTTTGTTTATTTACATGCAAGATATTTACATAAATGTGGAAGTGGGTAAAAGACAAAGCCCAGTAGAGACTTACAATCCAAACTGACATTGTTCCATTAATCATCACACTCTGAATATGGATATTTAACCAGCCACGGATCCACTTCTGCCATCATCCAGACTATATTTCTCCATTTGCCTCATTTGTCTGCAAGTCAAGAGTCTTTTTATACAAGAGACTCATGATAATTGTGGCTTATTACTTGAAGCCTTGTGAGAAACTTCATTAAGTGCTTTCTGAAATCAGAATGTTCTACTTGTTTGCTCTACTAGTTTATTAAAAAAGGAAATGTGATTACTTTGGCATGGCTTTTCCATGCTTCTCATATCTTCTGTAGCTCATGAATTTTAAATGCTAGGTTGTGGAACTGGTCCTGAGAATTCACGTTGGGTTATGGTTCCTGGAATTTTGTTTTTCCTCTTCTTGGGGCAGTATTTCTTTATTTTTATTTATTTCTTTCTTTATTAAAAATTTTTTTTAAATGTTTATTTTTGAGAGAGAGAGAGACACAGAGAGAGAGAGACAGAGAGAGAGACAGAGCATGACTGGGGGAGGAACAGAGAGAGAGGGACACACAGAATCCAAAGCAGGCTCCAGGCTCTCAGCTGTCAGCACAGAGCCCAACGTGGGGCTCGAACTCATGAACTGAGAGATCACAGCCCTACCAAAGTTGGACGCTCAGCCGAGTGAGCCACCCAGATGCCCCAGTATTTATTTTAATATCCTTTTGCCCATCTGATTCTTATCTTTTTTCAAAGATTACCAACGAGAGTTCCCCAGTTGTTTGTTTGAAGTATATCGTTACTTGCTTTTGCTTTATGGCCCAGCATTTGGTTTATTTTTACGGAATTTCCTTGGGTCCTTGAAAAACAGGTGAATTCTGTAGTTGTTGAGGGCAATACCATGTGTTCTCAATCACATTTACAGTATGGATTAGATCATACTGCATTTCCATCTATGGAATCTGTTAGTTACTGAAAGATGTTAAAATCTTTCCCTATGATTTTGGATTAGCCTATTTTTATGTATTCTGAGTCTATGTTATTAGATACATAAACATTTAAAAACACTTTTTTTTTAAGTTTATTTTTGAAGGAGAGAGAGACAGAGCGTGAGAGGGGAGGGGCACAGAGAGAGGGAGACAGAATCCAAAGCAAGCTCCAGGCTCTGAGCTGTCAGCACAGAGCCCGATGCGGGGCTCCGAACCTGTAAACCACGAGATCATGACCTGAGCTGAAGTCGGAGGCTTAACCAACTGAGCCACCCAGGCGCCCCTAGATACATAAACATTTTAAGTTGTTTTATCATCCTGGTGATTTCAACTGTTAATGTTTTCTGCCATTGGGTTGTTGCCTACCATTATGCAGAAAAGAAGAATGATTTTGTTAGTTTTATAATTGCCATTTTTTAAAAGTTTATTATTTATTTTGAGAGTGAGTGCATGTGCACACATGTGAGTGAGGGAGGGGCAGAGAGGTGGGGAGAGAAAATCCCACACAGCCTCTGCACTGTCAGCACAGAGCCAGATGTGGGGCTTGATCCCACACACCTTGAGATCATGACCTGAGCTGAGATCAAGAGTTGGATGCTTAATCGACAGGGCCACCCCGGTGCCTTTTAATCACCTTTTAATATGAGGCTTTGAATCAGTTCAATTTTGTGTTCCTTGTTTTTCTGTTCAGGTTATCAGTTGATTGGGAGCCATTCTGGGGTGAAGCTTTGCAGATGGACAAAGGTATTTGTTTTTATTTAAAATTATTATATTTTATTTCTGTTTTATGCAACTTTTCTATGGCTGTTCTATGTAGCCAATGAATTTTACCATTTTAAAGGTATAATTTACATTTAATGTAATGATTTTGACTGAATTTGTTAAATGAGTTCAACCTGTATAGATGGATATAAAAAACCCTTATCCACCACCTAAATTAAGATATATATAGGCCATTTTTCTCCTCCGGATAAGTTCACTTGTATTTATTTCTAGCCAGTAGTCTCTCCCCATCAGCCAGGACATAGTTGTTCTAGTTGCTGTCACTGGTTTAGTTTTGCTTGTTCTAGAATTTCATATGAATGGAATCATAATGTGTATTTTTCTGCAGGTGGATTTTTAAACTCAACATAATATTTCTCAGATTCCTATGTTGTAGTAAATTTCAGTAGTTTTATTCATTTTTATTGCTGAGTACTATTCAACACAATGAACATACCACAGGTTTGAATCTGTTGATAGACACTGGGTTGCTTTCAGGTTTTGGCTATTCCAAGTAAAACTTCTGTGAACATTCTTATGTAGCACTTTGTTATGAACGTATGTGTCAGTTTCCTTTGGGTATATCCCTAGGAGTGGAATTGCTAGGTCACAATGTAGGTATGAAACTCCCAGTCTGTTTTCAGTGTGGCCGTATTATTTTATACTTGGATTGGCAATTTATGAAACTTCCAGGTGGAACATTTTCTCACTATTCTGTGGTATTGAAAATCTTTTTTAATTTAGCCATTCTGATGTGTGTGCAGTGGTATCAGTGTGGTGTTTTTGTGTGTGTGTGAGCTTATTTTATTTTATTTTATTTTTTTCAATATATGAAATTTATTGTCAAATTGGTTTCCATACAGTACCCAGTGCTCATCCCAAAAGGTGCCCTCCTCAATACCCATCACCCACCTTCCCCTCCCTCCCACCCCCCATCAACCCTCAGTTTGTTCTCAGTTTTTAAGAGTCTCTTATGCTTTGGCTCTCTCCCACTCTAACCTCTTTTTTTTTTTTTTTCCTTCCCCACCCCCATGGGTTTCTGTTAAGTTTCTCAGGATCTATATAAGAGTGAAAACATATGGTATCTCTCTTTCTCTGTATGACTTATTTCACTTAGCATCACACTCTCCAGTTCCATCCACGTTGCTACA